TTTCATTAGTTGACATCGCTGGCACGCTAATACATATCGTGCAACATCGTCTCTCATACCTGGCCAGTACGCACTTTGTCGCAGCAAATCAGTTGTCCGTGCAATACCTGTGTGCGCTACCTGGTGATATTCACGAATCATCTCCTGGCGCAGATCTTTTGGGATTATTGCTACCCAATTCTCATCATCATCCCGCCAGGTCAAGGCTCCGTATCCGTTCACTCTCAGTCTCTCCTTCTGCCTCGGCAACACTGTTAATTCTTTGTCTGTTCCACTCTTGTCGACATCTTCTCCCTCTTTTATCACTCTGATTACCTCTCGAAGGTTAGGGTCGGCTTTCTGATGTCGGACGAGTTCTAGGGGATCTCCCTCTAGGCCGTTAACTGCACACGCTATCTCTGGAAGTTCGGCTTCGGTGTCCGGTCTTGACAAATAATCTGCCATTACATTTTCCTCCCCTGGCACATGCCCGATGCTAAAATCATACTCCTGCAGACGTAGCATCCATCGAGCCAACTTCCCCCGAGGGTCTTTTGCTGTTTTCAACCATTGTAGGGGCTTATGATCCGTCTCGATGTGAAATCGCCGACCCAGTAGATACGGTCTCCGTTTGTCTACCGCCCATACAATCGCTAAACACTCTTCTTCTACTGTGGAATACTTCTGTTTTGTCGGCGTAAGGACACGGCTGGCATACTCCACTACTCTGTCAGACTGCCTCAAGACCGCACCTATACCGTGATCGCTCGCATCAGTGGTCACTGTAAATGGCTTCTAGAGTTCCGGCAGTCTCAGCGTCATTTGGCGGTCATCTAACAGCTCTTTGATTCGGTCGAAAGTTTGTTGAGCGGTCTCTGTCCACGTAAACGTCGCATTGCTTAGCACTTTATATAGAGGTGCTGCTATATCGTTGAAGTTCTTCACGAATCTACTGTAGAACGCCGCTCTTCCCAGGAACTGTCTTAACTTCCTTTTTGAGTTGGGAACTGCAATATTCTTTATCGTTAGAATCTTCTCCGGCAGTGGTTTTATTTCTCCATTGCCTACTTTATGCCCCAGCAACGTGACGCTTCTTTTCGCTATCTGAGACTTGTCTTTGTTAATTCGTAAACCAAAGTCATCAATTCGCCTTAGGACCGCCTCCACGTGACTCACATGTTCTGCCTCTGTACTACTATATACGACCAAATCATCGCCATAAACCTCGACATTCTCCAGGTTTCTGAGCAGTAATGTCATCAGTCTTCGAAACGTAAACGGTGCGCCCGCCAATCCAAAGGGCATTTGTTTAAATTGATACTGCTTCTCCCGTACGATAAATGCCGTTTTGCTACGATCACTGTCTTTTATTGGTAGCTGCCAATAGCCCGACCGTAAATCTAACACTGTGAACACCGTGGCACTCTGTAGACCATCTAATGTCTCCGCTATTGTTGGCATTGACCATGGTCTTATTTCTGTCACGTTATTCAGTTCTCTAAAGTCAACACAGAATCTATACTTTCCATTTGGCTTCTTTACCAAAAGTACCGGTAAGCTGTACGGGCTATCTGCTTCTTCAATTATACCTGCTTTTAACATCTCCTGTACCTGCTGGTTTATCTCAGATTCCAAATGTACGGGAACCCGTCGTGTTGTGAAGATGGTTACTTCTTCGTTCTTTATCGGAATTTCATGTTTGACTTTATTACAAAACCCGTACGGTTCTCCGTCTCCCGTGAACAACTTCGTATATTTTGTGAGCACCTCGTTCATGTCCTGTTTCTTTCCAATGTCCTCTTTTGCTACTCTAACCTCAGCCACCTCGCTGCTTTCATGTATTGTCAGTGTGCCGTACTTTGTAATCACCTTCTTACTTCTTGTATCAATAATTGCTCCTACTTCTCTCAAGAAATCTGCTCCTAGTATTGGTCTCGACAAGTTCGTAATCACTACAAAGGGGAACTGTATTTCCGAACTGCCGATTTTCACGATATCATTTGAGACTCCTAGGATTTTTAACACGTTGCCTCCGATGGTGTTAACAACTAATGCACTCGGCCTGATACTTCTACACCGCTCTTTGTCTATTAACGAAACTGCCGCCCCTGTATCAATCAGGCACACTACCTCTCGCTCGTTTATCCCTAATCTCGCATAGACCGCCCCCTTATTTACTACTGCTGAGACCCCCAGTTTCGAAAGACATAAAGAACACCTTGTATATGGTCTAAAATGTCTACGTTTTCGTCTTGTTGGGCAATTCCTCTTCCAATGTCCGGTTCCTCCGCAAATATAGCATTTATTATTTCTTTCACCCTTTATTCGTAACGCTGCCACCTCTCGTTGTAGTTCTTCTATCTTCTTCACGACATCATCAGCCTGTCTTTCACACGCCACCGAGGCGACGGTTGAGTTCATCAGTTGTCTTGTTACTTTCGCCAGCTCGGTGATGTTCTGCAGTGCGTCCTGCCTATCCGCCGGGCTGTCGAACTCCACCAGCAGCCTTTCCGTCACCACCTTCCACTCAGCGTCCTCCACACTGTCGTACACCGCTCTCGCGCTGCCTCTTAGTAGAGTTTCCAGCAACACCGCCTTCGCCCTCCGTTCCTTGACTCCGACCAGCTCTGCCATGGCCTCAAACTCCTTCAAGAAGCTCCTCACATCTCCGCTGTTACTATTTTTAGAATTGCTGTTCATGAAAGTATTGTAGTTTTACTTCAAGGCTGTCAGTGCTCAGAGTTGTTGCAAGTAGTTATTGGTTTCTCAGTCTGTGTATACTCAGTTGAGCTGAACAAAAATACATCTTTGGGTGAATAATCCAGATCTACATCATTGGATTTTCCGTTGTGAATAGTCTTAGTGAGTTGCTGTGCACTATCCGTTTATGGGTTTGTTATGCGTTTGGGGTCAGCCACACTTGCTAATTGGTGTGTAATTATTTCACTCTTACGAAGAAAAACGCGGTTTGTTAACTGGCAGCATTCACTATGATAATCATTTGTACAAGTGAACGTATTATCGAATACTTGCTTATTAGTACTTTTGTTCTACTCACTTCATTCTTTTTTCTGGCAGCCTTGTTTTAGCTGCTTTGTACTTTCGTACATTTCTCTGGCGTGTTTCGGTATCTTTTTAATACCATGAGATCCCCAAAAAATACACCAAATTGTTCCATTCTTTCTTCCTACAAAAGATCTGGGATAACGTGCGAGACCCGGAGTTAATACGTATATAGACATGTTCATAGTCCCGTAACTCTAACATGTATGGCTGTTTGCAACAGATGTTTGTTCGGGAGAAATTCCAGGAAGCAATGGATAATGTTGTGTTCCTTACTTTCTAGTGGTATTTATATACATAAGCGTGGTACAAGGTAATGAAAGGTGGTGTCCAAGTTCATAGTAAAATCTAGTGCGCCAGTAGAAAGGTTAGATAAAGATGAGTATTGATCGCTGTCCTCAGAGTTTTATTTTATCCGCCTTAGTGGTAGATTTAGGTCTTTTACAGGTATTATAAGGCTTCAGGCAAGATTAAGTGCTTTTTAGTTCAGAAGTTAATTGTGGGTAGAGTTTTTACGATGCGAACAGCGTCTGTTCAAAATTAACTTGATAATACGAGTGAGTACAACGTTCGTAATGCATTAATGGTATGAAGTAAAAAGCCATCGTAGAAATGAAAAATTAATAAAAACGGTATCTGGATATAAAAATCTCGCTAACATACAACAGTGAATTCGAATGAAAAGACCGAAGACAGATAAAATGAAAGATTACTAGAAAGAAATAAATAGTTGATAAGTCTCCTTATAGTTAAGCAATAGTGTTATTAGATTTTTGAACCTAGAGATAGTGTCAGTTAAGGACAAATGCTGACGGTGTGGTCCACTAGCCATGCTGTACTGCAAAGAAGTTACAGCTATTGACTTCGGATGTTCTCAGTCGTGTGTATGCATTATGAATCTGTGAGTAGGGCCAAGGTTCATAATTGGGTTGAATGTTAGAGGCGAGATCACATATCCCATTTTGGTAATATCTTAAGCTGTTTTTTCACCAAAGGTGTCATGAAGGTCCTAGAGAGTGACGTTAACATCTAGCTGTGTAGTCTAAATAAGGACTTCCCTGATTCTCATTTGCGATTGCTCAAACCTTTTCTCCTGACGCGCCATGCAAGCTTCTCATTGTTCATATCATTGTAAGTGGAAACACCAACTTGTCAGTGAGCAGTTTCGGCAACACATTCAAACCCTGACTTCGCTAGCTTTGATATGTATTACGAATGTCGTCCCAACAAACTCCACATGATGCACTATTCAAACACTAAGACTGGTCGGAAAAAGCTGAGGTTGTTTGTTTGTGACATGGTGTCACATTACGACGGCTATAAAATCCCGCATCTGTTGGTCCTCCACTTTTTTCTGATGCGGATCCTAAAGATGGTATGACTCAGTGGCTTGAAACGTTATGAGACATCGCTCTGAATAGAAGCTGGTTGCTTTCCTGATGTGATTTTCCTATACATTCTTTAAGTATGGGAAAGGAATTCCTCTAACTGAAAAGACATTTAATAGTTGTACTTTTATAAACTAAATATCTCTTCGAATTACTTTTTACTGTCACTTTTTATTTTATTTATCATACCTTCTTTAGATCTTCACGATCTTATGACTGTGTGGGGTATATAAAATTTGGCACCTGTTTGAATAAATATTTGTTCGAAATAAATAAATAACAACTTGATGAACAACTAAAAATTAACATGATTATTTAGATCGACTAACTATTTGAAGCGCGGGTCTAGGGTATAGACAACAGTAAATATGAGTTCCCTCGGCTGAAGAAATAACCATTCAAAACATTGTTAAGCAATGACATGAAAACAAAATAGTCGTTTCTTATTTTATTATTTATTCCTGAAGTAAAAAAAGACTGAAAATGAATCGCAAATAAATATGGAAGCAAATAAAGGTAAATAAAAATCCAAGTCGCATTAAATTTGAGGCCCTGATATGACATTTTTGTTCAAGAACGATACTTTTCTCCGGAATACTTGCTACCTGGTAAGAGAAGAAAAGAGTCTCTACAATCCATTGATTTAATTATATCACTGAGATCAATATATCTTGTCAAACAAAAAAGTATCACCTAAAATTCAAAAACTCAACAACAGTTAGGAGACATTATCGTAACCGAACCCCCACTGAAACAGAAGTCGTATAGATATAATAATTTTTGGTGGAGATATGACGAAAAACCATTTGGCAACTAACTGATTAAAATGTTCCTGGTCTCAGCTAATACCTTGACATGATTGGAATTGTTTAACGCGATGACTCGACCGAGCTTTATTGGTTAAAACAAATGTTTCTCTAGGCCCTACCTTCTAAGTCAGGCAATTTGGTTGGGGACGATAGGATTAAAAGCAGAAACTTAGGGTCCAAGAGCGAAATCATAATGCTGTGTAGGGATGCCAGAGCAGTAAAGTGGTTCTCTCGAACAACCAACATTTGCAGCAACTCTGCCTACTCAAAACAGAAGGTAGGAATTAAAAAACATCAACCATAAGATTGGTACACCTTAATCCAGGGATTTACATCACACGCAGAAAGACATTCCAAAGTGCGGAGTTAACATAGTGACAAAATTACCATAAAAAGGCAGTGCTTGAACAAGCTCAAGCAGTTTTCCCGGGTGTTCTGTGCTCACACTCCCAAGAAACTACGACCAACATAAACATAGATTTCTTTCAGGTCAATTAGGTAGAAAAACGCTATCAATGTGTGGACAGCCGAAAATCGGCAACTACTGCTAAACAGTAATGAAACAATGTAAGGTTGCTAGCGCAATAAGCAACAATGCGAGCGTGTTCAGGATGCGATTTTCCCTTTCGAAATGCGAAATGATGCTTCATGATTGGCTTTCTCAAATCCATTCAGAGTCGGAGGACTTACGTCGGTTTCCCATTCAGGTTGACTGGAAATCGTGGGAAACCGATGTGTGGCAGAAGGCCAATGAAACTGATCCCTATAGTATTGTGCCCATTGATCCAGTCTCGTGGATTAAGAATGAATAATAAGACCATCCTTCTCCAAAATAGTCGCACTTACAGTCGGATTCCTAATACCGGTTTCCTTGATAAGTTGAAACAGTTGTCTACTGTTGCCTATCGCCTCTGCCTTTTTCATCTCCCTTGCTTTCGCTACCCACCACTGTTCACAGTCACTGCGTAGGCTTTTTATCAGCCTGTGCCTAGTCTGACTTCGCTGGTCATCAAGTTCAAAGCCAGACGGGTTGAGTTTTCGAGCATTGCTGTCACACCCCTCTACAGTCAGCAGTGCGACTTCACCCTGAAACATTAGGCTGCTGCTGTTATCCTTACCCTTCTGCAATCGACATCCCTGGCATGGTAGAACCTAAAGGAATATATGTTCCAGCCAATAAGGCTCAGTTAGGTTATCACGATAGGCAAACACGATCCCTACAGTAAGGTAGAATCTACGGTCGGATCTCCAAAATGAAACTGAAACTCAAGAGGCATTGGACAAACGGGCGTACAACATCACATACTTTTGATACAGCCTTTCTTTAGGATAATGACTAACTCAACAAGGTTAGGACAACTCTCAGAAATAGGTTGAGGCTTTTCAAGATCTACTCGATGGAGAGGAAACTACCATGGAGAGCAACTGGAAAGGGATCAAGCAGGTAATCACTTCAATATGTCAGAAGGTTACTGGCCACAAGTATCGTAACAAGGAATGGGTCTTTGTTTTTACTATAGATAAGATTTAAGAAAGGAAGAATAACACGGCCGCAATCAAAATCAGCCGAATAGCAGCAAAAAGGCCAAGGCACAAGCTGAAAACACAGAAGCAAGCAAGCAAGTGAAGAGGAGCTTTAGAACCGACATACGTCAATAGATGGAAGATCTAGCAATGACGGCGGAAAAAGTTGCAAGAAAAGGAAACCTGAGAAGATTGTGCGATACAAGAAAGAGGCTCGCTGGAAACTATCGTAAACCAGAACGACCAGTCAAAAGCAAGGAAGGCAAAGTAATCAGCAACATCCAAGAACAGTAAAATAGGTGGGTGGAGCACTTCGATGAACTCTTGGATCGACTAGCTCCACTGTACTCATCCAACATTGAAGAAGCATCCACGGACCTCCCAATCGATGTTGGCCCACCAACGGTTGAAGCGATCAGCATGGTCATCAGACAAATCAAGAGCGGCTAAGCAGAGGGATCAGACAACATACCAGCTGAGGCAGCGAAAGCAGACGTAGCAGCAACTGCAAAAATATCCCACAATCTCTTGAACAAGATTTGGGACGAAGCACAACTACCATCAGATTGGAAAGAAGGATACCTGATCAAAATGCCAAAGAAAGGCGAACTCAGCAAGTGTGAAAGCTACAGAGCCATCACTCTTCTCTCAATACCAGGCAAAATCTTCAACAGGGTATTGCTAAACAGAATATATGACTTTGTAGAAGCCCAGCTCCGAGATCAACAGGCCGGATTTCGTAAGAATCAATCGTGTACCAACCAACTTGCAACATTACGGATCATTGTGGAATAATCAATTGAATGGAATTCACTACTCTACATCAACTTCATTGACTACGAGGAATCATTCGATAGCGTGGATAGGAAAACACTGTGCAGGCTTCTTCGACACTATGGTGTGCCTGAGAAAATAGTTAACATCATACGGAATTCTTATGATGGATTCAACTGCGAAATCGTTCACGAAGGACAGCTAACAGACTCTTTCGAGGTGAAGACCGGTGTCAGACAAGGTTACTTACTCTCACCCTCTCTTTCTCCTGCTCATCGACTGGACTATGAAAACGTCAACATCTGGAGAGGAGCACGGTATCAACTGGACAGTTAGGACGCAGTTGGACGATCTGGACTTCGCAGATGACCTGGCTCTTCTATCGCACACGCAACAACAAATGCGAGAGAAGACGACCAGTGTAGCAGCAGCCTCAGCAGCAGTAGGTCTCAACATACATAAAGGAAAAAGTAAAATTCTCCGACGCAACACAACATGCACCAACCAAATCACTCTCGATGGAGATGCCTTGGAGGACGTTGACACCTTTACATATATTGGCAGCACCATCGACAACCAAGGTGGATCCGATGCAGATGTGAGGACACGGATTGGCAAAGCAAGGACTACATTTATACAATTGAAGAACAATTGGAACTTAAACAACATTCAACCAAAATCAAAATCAGGATATTCAATACAAATGTTAGGACAGTTCTAATGTATGGGCGGAAACCTGGAGAGCTACGAAAGTCATCATCCAGAAGATACAAGTACTTATTAACAGTTGTCTACGCAAAATACTTCGGATCCGTTGGCCAGAAACCATCAGCAATAACCTACTGTGGGAGAGAACAAACCAGACTCTAGCGGAGGAGGAAATCAGGGAGCGGTGGAGGTGGACAGGACACACTGCGGAAAGCACCCGACTGCGTGATGAGACAGGCCCTCACTTGAAATCCTGAAGGTCAGAGTAAAAGAGGAAGGTCAAGGAACACATTACGCCGATAAACAGAGATAGACATGAGAAGAATTGGAGGGAACTGGAAAGAGAAGTCCAGGACAGAGTAGGTTGAAGAATACTGGTCGGCGGCGTACGTAAGTATGTTAGCACATAGTTTGAGTATCGAGAGGGAAGACAAGCATCATATTCACAGTACAAGCATTACGGTATGTGGCATTTTGTGACAGGTTCTCACAATGATGATGCTGACATTCTAAACATGCCCGAAGTGGTACATCAGTGAGTACTGAAGGTACTATATGTACCTTAAAATAGGTTTAGTAAGTTTAAACATTTGATATTATGTTAGACGGAAATAAAGTTGCAGAGCATAAAATTATAAACCAACATACTGTTAACAGCTTTTGCAACTATATGAAGAGTGATTCCACACAAACAAATGACAAAGCCAATCATATTAATGTAAGATATATTATCTCCATTAAATTTTGCAGCAAGATACAGGGTACATACTTCCTGAAATTGAAGACAACGTATTAGTAAAATAAAATGTGATGAAAAAAGCGATACTGTTGGATTAAAACTAAAATAAGAGTATAAGAATCTTTACGTAAACTGAATAACTTAATATGATCCGGAAATATATATGGATATAGTACATTTAAAAACTCCGCCAGAAGAACCTTCGGGGCTACTGCCGGTCCCAAGCCCGGGTAAAGGAGGAGGGTTGGACATGGGGTTGGCGACCCTATTCCGTCGAAATTTAACTTGCCAAAAAAACGCTAACCAGAAAAAATAATTCAAACCATTTTAACTCTGCCCTGGGAGTTCGAAGAAGAATTATGACGTCGCGTGATGAAAGCCGAGTTCCCTCGGAAGTCACGGGGCTGATGCCTCTTCTGACAACCAGAGCAACCACTCTTTTAAGTACATGGAACGTTCGTACATTGTGGGAGACTGGAAGACTATTTCAAGTTGCGGCAGGAATGAAAAGATACAACCTCAAGGTGCTCGGCATCAGTGAAACGCATTGGACACACGTAGGACAACTGAGACTAGCTTCAGGGGAACTGCTGTTATACTCTGGTCATGAACAGGAAAATGCTTCACACACACAAGGAGTTGCACTGATGCTGTCCAAACAAGCACGAAAGGCGCTGATAGGATGGGAACCTCATGGACCCAGGATCATTAAAGCATCCTTCAAAGCAAAGAAACAGGACATAACAATGAACGTCATCCAATGTTATGCACCTACCAACGACTACAATGACGACGTTAAAGATCAATTCCACGAAAGGCTGCAGTCAATCGTCGAGAAATGTTCACCAAAGGATTTGACGATTCTTATGGGAGACCTGAATGCAACAGTTGGCATAGACAACACTGGATATGAAGACATCATGGGACGACATGGACTGGGAGAAAGAAACGAAAATGGTGAGAGATTTGCAAACCTATGTGCCTTCAAAAAACTGGTCATCGGTGGCACAGTATTCCCGCACAAACGCATACATAAAGCTACATGGATTTCACCGGATCAAACTACTCAAAACCAGATTGATCACATCTGTATCAACAAAACGTTCAGAAGGACTATGGAGGATGTGAGAACCAGGAGAGGAGTTGATATAGACTCAGATCACCATTTGCTGATCGCCAAAATGAGACTAAAACTAAAGAAGCACTGGACAACGGGACAGACAAAATCACACAAGTTTAATACGGTCTTTCTTCGGGATACCGTAAAACTCAACGAATTCAAGATAGCCCTCACCAATAGGTTCCAGGCCTTTCAGGATCTACTCAATGGAGAGGACGCAACATTGGAGAAAAATTGGAAAGGGATTAAGGAGGCAATCACTTCAACATGTCAGGAGGTCCTTGGTCGCAAGAAGCACCATCACAAGGCACTCTTGCAAAAATTGAAGGAAGGAGGAACAGGAAAGCAGCAATCAATGTCAGCCGAACAAGAGCAGAGAAAGTTACCGCACAAGCTGCATACACAGAAGCAAACAGGGAAGTGAAGAAGAGCATCAGAGCTGATAAACGAAAATATGTGGAAGATCTAGCAATGACGGCGGAAAAGGCTGCAAGAGAAGGAAACTTGAGACAATTGTACGAAACAACAAAGAAGCTCGCCGGGAACTATCGTAAACCAGAACGACCAGTGAAAAGCAAGGAAGGCAAAGTAATCAGCAACACTGAAGAACAGCGAAATAGGTGGGTAGAGCACTTCAAGGAACTAATGAATTGACCAGCTCCACTGAACACACACGCAACATCGACGCAACATCCACGGACCTCCCAATTATTACTGGCGCACCTACAATTGAGGAGATCAGACAAATCAAGAGCTGCAAAGCAGCAGGACCAGACAACATTCCAACAGAGGCAATGAAAGCAGATGTAGAAGCAACTGCGAAAATATTTCACATCACTCCGTAGACGTCCAACTTCGAGATCAACAGGCCGGATTTCGTAAGAATCAATCGTGTACCAACCAACTTGCAACATTACGGATCATTGTGGAATAATCAATTGAATGGAATTCACTACTCTACATCAACTTCATTGACTACGAGGAATCATTCGATAGCGTGGATAGGAAAACACTGTGCAGGCTTCTTCGACACTATGGTGTGCCTGAGAAAATAGTTAACATCATACGGAATTCTTATGATGGATTCAACTGCGAAATCGTTCACGAAGGACAGCTAACAGACTCTTTCGAGGTGAAGACCGGTGTCAGTCCGATGCAACACAACATGCATCAACCAAATCACTCTCGATGGAGATGCCTTGGAGGACGTTAACAACTTTACACATCTGGGCAGCATCATCGACGAGAAAGGTGGATCCGATACAGATGTGAGGGCGCGGATCGGCAAAGCGAGGGCTGCATTTCTACAGTTGAAAAATATCTGGAACTCCAAACAACATTCAACCAAAATCAAAATCAGGTTTTTCAATACAAACGTCAAGACACTTCTACTGTATGGAACGGAAACATGGAGAACTACGAAAGTCATCATCCATAAGATACAAGTGTTTATTAACAGTTGTCTACGCAAAATACTTCGGATTCGTTGGCCAGACACCATCAGCAACAACGTACTGTGGGAGAGAACAAACCAGATTCCAGTGGAGGAGGAAATCAGGAAGAAGCGGTGGAAGTGGGTAGGACACACACTACGAAAAGCACCTAACTGCGTCACGAGACAAGCCCTTACCTGGAACCCTCAAGGCAAAAGGAAAAGAGGAAGGCCAAAGAATACATTACGCCGAGAAATAGAGAAAGATATGAGAGGAATGAACAAACACTGGACATAACTAGAGAGGGAAGCCCAGGACAGAGTTGGTTGGAGAAAACTGGTGGGCAGCCTATGCTCCATTGGGGGGAACAGGCGTAAGTAAGTACATTTAAAAATAACTTGAATTTTCGTTAACTTTAGACATCGGCTAAACAATACATATGACTCACTCAGAGTGTAATAGCTCTTTGATATTGCCTATTTTTCATTGTTTAGACTCAACAATTTTACAATTCCTCGATTAATTATACATTAATGACATGTTGATACACCTAACAGGCCAACAAAAATGATGCTCTAAGAGGACAAAATATATCATACTAAAAAAGCTAATTAGTACGCGCACACGTGTCTTCAGCCTGTATTTCAAATAGCCAGTATTGATCAAATTGTTCGACAAGAACGTGAATATATCCAAAGCTGTTGCATTGACTACTTTGTAATTTTACTCTCACTAATAGGATCAACCACAATAGTAGGGAAATTCAACAACATTGTGTTCAGTGAGTCAATGAAGTTATTACAGCACTGGTAAACCTTCAGTGTCTATTACCAGACATGCCAGCTAGACTATGTAGTGAAAATTAGTTTCACAAGTCTTGATTTGCAGAAAAACAATGAATTGATCCCGTCAGACAGGAGGCGGAGAACTGTTTACCATCAACACACATAATAAAAGGATGTTTCAACTTATTTCCTTTTAAATAATTTCATTTTTATTCTTATCTGTGAACCGTTATTTGAACTTGTAAGATGTCGGAAATTTAGATAAATATATTTTTTGCCTAAACTAAAGTATTCTATCAGTCGAATTAATAGCACTTCAACTTGAGTAAAGATTATAGGACAAGTTACCCAGAAAACATTACACCAGAGAAATAGAAATATGGATACTCTGAATATGAGTTTATATAATAATAATAATAAAGGACTGTAGTTGTATTCTAAGAATCTGCATAATTTTTGGACAGCTTGAGAAAGTGAAATCGGAAACTAAGGCAACAAAAACTTTTCCATACATAAACTTTGGGAACTAACCTTAAATATACCAGCAACCGATAAAGTCAAGCTTGAAGCAGAACTAACAACCAGATATTCCGATATTTCAAGACCGAATGCTAACAGAGCTCCAGTACCTAATTGGACTAAGTTGCCTATTAATTGATCAAAGACATCACTGCGAAAAAGATTTTTTGCCGTTACGAGTTCAAAACCTAGGGAAGTTAAATTAAAATGAATTGCATCACGTTATTCGTTTAAAAATTCTCATAAAATTTGAAACAGAGGCGGTGGAAGTGGATAGGATTTCCAAATCCTGTCCGTATCTGTGACACAATCGTCAGGTTCGAAAATCTAGTTATTCTTCCTGCACTCTGACGAAATTTATCAACTATATTCGGAACTCACACCGAATCTCAAGACACAATTTTATGGTCCAGCAAACAGTTAAACTAACCCTAGAAACTACTAACGGACTATGAATATATTGGTCCGCCATTACCATCGAAGCACGTATAGCGAAATGATAGACATTCTACTACTGCTACTAACAGCAGTAGTTCAAACCCTTATGCCCCTACACCTAACATTCGATCTTTTTAAACTCGAATTATTACCCAATCGTTCCAAGCTAGACTATAAGCTTAGGAATAGGCCGTGGATCTCGGCAGCATCTACCGAACTGACAGATAGTCGAAAACTCACTCCACCTGGCTCTGGATATGACGAAGAGCGAAGTCAGCTTAGGCGCAGGCTCATAAAAAGCCTGGTGTCGCTGCCTACACAAAGGATGAAGATTTCATGGCCGAAGGAGTTAGAGTGTGAGATAGGAGCATTACGAGTTAATCATAAAAGGAACGATAAATGTTACGCTTGTGGAGGGGCAGGACATTGGAAGATAAACTGTCCAAGAAGACGACGACGAAGATATTTTAGACATAACGCGTGTTCTTTTCGCCCTAGGAATCTGGAGGTTCTTGCACGAGTAGATAGAGGGGCAATTTATGCCAGAGTGTACATAAATGAACAGGAGTTAGTGTGTTTGATCGATACAGGGGCAGCTATATCGTCAATAGGCAAAGAGCAATGTAAGACAATCAAACCACGTACATCAGCTGTCCACACCATAGGAGGGCATATGTTAGAGGTGTTGGGGGTATCTACCAGTATTGTAAAAATAGGTGGAGCTGAGATAAATTTTCCGTTCTTGGTAAACACAAACTTATCGAGACCGATATTAGGAGCAGATTTCCTAAGAGAGGTAAAAGCTATAATTGACTTGAGAAGCGGTAAAATGATCACAAAGTACGGTTCATTGCCAATACACGAAATTAGCGAAGTGGCTAAAATAAGGGTGACAACGGACGTCTCGACCAAGAAACCAAACATTAACGAGTTATGCGCAAAGTATGCGAAACTGTTCACTGGAGATGAGGAGCCGTATGGATTTTGTGACAAAGTAAAGCATGAAATTCCTATAAAGAACGACCGAGTAAATATATTTGCAACACGTCGTGTCCCGGTGCATTTAGAGATCGAGGTAAATCAACAGGTCCAGGAAATGTTGAAGGAAGGTATAATTGAGGAAGCAGACAGCCCGTATAGCACACCGGTACACTTGGTAGAGAAACCCAATAGAAAGTATAGATTTTGTGTCGACTTTAGAGAAGTGAATAATATAACAGAACACAAAGCATAAATGCACCTGCGCCATTTCAAACGGTTCTGAGCCATGTCATCCAGGGTATCTAACCATCGATTATTATTATCTCGCGGACCCCAACCAAGTAGTCGACAACTACCAACATGGCTAAGTCCACTCGTCAATGACTTCATGGATTCGTGCCATGTTTTGGTCTGGCCGCACCTAACTTTCTTCCAACCTATTCCTACATTACAAAACAAACCTCGTCGAGGCAATCGGTGGTTAGGCATACGCAGCACATGTCCCAACCACCTCATCTGATGGAGTTTCAATACTTCATCAATTAATCTGCCGTCCCTACCTAGAACTCGCTTCCTAACGACAGCATTGTTTACTCGGGTGTCCCAGGATATGCGAGCAATGCTTCGGAGACACCTATGATCGAAGACAAGCAACCTACGAATGTCATCTACTCTCACCGGCCATGTTTCGCATTCGTATCATAGGGTGGAGCGAACTACTGCACAGTACACTCGTCCTTTGGTTAGCAAACGGATATCTCGCCTTCGCCATAAGTGACGCAGGTTGGCAAAAGCCAATCGAGCCTTCTGTCCGTGCTGAGATTTCGTCAGCCACCAGGCCATCAGCGCTGATGAGACTCCCAAGATAAGTGCAGAGGTCTACACGCTCGATTACTTCACTCCCTATCACTAGTTCAGGTGCCGATGAAACCCAATCTTGAAGCAACATTTTGCATTTCGGCGGGGAAAACCGCATCCCGAACATGCTTGCATTGTTGCTTAGGGTGGTCAGAAGACTCTGCATATTGTCAGCGTCTTCACCAATTAGGACGATGTCATCGGCATATTCCAAGTCAATTAGCGAGCCACCTGGTAGAAGGTCTACTCCTGAAAATTCAGACGAGGATAATGGAGAGAGTGGACATCGCTGACGGACACCACTTGAAGTAAAGAATTCCGGTGACAGTTCGCCATAAGTTCTCACTCGACCAGTGGTGTTCGAGTAGAGAGCTTGTATGAGGTCAAGCCGCCTTAAGGTCCAGAAACACAACTATTGTAGGACGCCTAAATGTGTGTCTGTTTTCCAGGATCTGTCGTAGTGTGAAGATGTGGTCTATACAACCACGTCCAGGTCGAAAACCAGCCTGGTTTTCTCGAGTCTGCTCTTCACGAGCTTTCGTTAAGCGTCGAAGTATTATTGAGGCTAATATTTTAGGAACTATATTAGTTAGACTGATTCCCCTGTGATTGTCACAAGAGGACTTTAGTCCTTTCTTGTAGATTGGGACAATTAGCGACTAAAACCAGTCAGATGGGATTACGTCCAGTTCCCAGATTCTACCTAAGATCTTGGTCAACCTAGCTGCTAAAACTGGACCACCATCCTTAAATATCTGAGGGGTCAGTCTATCAGGACCTGCAGCTCGCCCTCGCTTCAGACTTCCTAACGCTTTCTCAACTTCATTAAGACTAGGGGGACTTACGTCGATTTGCCATTCAGAATGACTGGAGATCGTGGGTAACCGAAGAGTGGCTCGAGGCCAATCAAACTGATCCATAAAGCGTTCTGCCCATCGATCCAGTCTCCTGGATTGAGAATAAATAATAGTCCCATTATTTTCCGAGATAGTCTCACTTACACTAGGATTCCTAATACCAGTTTCCTTGATAAGTCGGAAAAGTTGTCTAGTGTTCCCTATCGCCGCTGCCTTTTCCATCTCTCTCGCTTTCTCCACCCACCACTGTTCTCGATCATTGCGTAGGCTTCTTGTCAGCCTACGTCTAAGCTTCTCATCGCCCTCAGAGCCATGCGGGATGAGTTTTCGAGCATCCATCAGCTTGGTAGATGCTATTGAGATCCACGGCTTCATCCTAGTCTCATGGTTTACCTTACTAGAAGATATCACTGCTGTTTCCACAGCCTTTTTGATATCATACCAACCTATTCTGGATGGGAATCGCTTACATGGTTGCTTAACTCTCTTTCTAGTTGCTCCTGAAATATTTTCTTAGTTTGATTATCATTAAGTCAAACCCTAAGAGGCTTTCTTACGGTGTCTTTCCTACGTCCAGTAAGCCTCAAACAGATACGCGCTCGCGCTAGGGCATGATCTGAATCCAAACATGTGCCCCAGAACGAGAGAAAGTCTTCTGTCGAACCCCTCCATCAGTGGCTGATGGCGATGTGATCTAGCTGAGTTCAAAGTTGAGGCGACTTCGGGGGTCGCCAGGTCAAGAGATGCTTTTCCTTATGTCTAAAGTTAGTGTTTGCTAAGAATAGGCGGTTATCTGAGCATTGCTGCAAAAGACGGTCACCATTGTCTGTTCTCTGAGCCACGACACCATAACATCCACCTAGGTGTCTTTCATTTTCACTTAGTCTACCTACTTGAGCATTTAAGTCACCAGCCATTATTACTATATCAGAGCGCCTAGCTTTTTGGAGTGCGTCCGAAAGCTTTCTGTAGAATTCATCTTTAACCTCGTCTGAACTGCATTCAGTGGGGGCAGAGGCAGATATGACGAAGAGGCAACGGTGAGTGTCCTTATCTTTCCGAGTCCTTACTGTCCCGTTTAGTCCGAGAGATTGTTCAGCTCTACAACTCAATGCTATGCCTATGCCAGCAAGACCACTGGAAGCAGCATCACGGCTTCCAGATACACGAAGAGTAAATCGAGCTGCTTCTTTATTTTGACAAGGTGAAATCAGATTAATAATTTTACTAGGATCCTGTATGCGCGTTTTCGAGACGCAGCACACATCGATGGAACGAGATTCTAAAGTACTAGCTAATGATGCCTGTTGCCCTATTTGACACAAAGTCCGTACATTAAAAGCTCCAACATGTAGTCTAGAACGGGGTTTTAAGAGACCAGGAACGACGTTTCGTGATCTCGCTTCGTCTGCATTAGCGGTGCAGTGTGATAAAGGAATTTGAGAAGAGTTAGTCGTGGAGATAAGAGAGGTATTAGGAGGTGTAAGAAGGATTTGATTTTGACCAATTTGGTCTCTCGTGCTGTTACGGGTATGAAGGCGATTGTCACTTCCCGGCTGCCCACACCGTGGAAGGTTGTTTCTAGAGGAACCTGAAAGGAAGGTATATTAGCGTTGGTCTTAGAGACCTGGGTGCGTGACCGCAGAGTTCGAGGGACAACTGCTTGAGGCCGGTCACGCACGGCCTTTTTACGAAAGGTATTTTGAGGATTAGATCCGTTCTTAAAGGCCCTTAGTGGGCACCCTTACCGACGGAGACGGAAATCCGTGAGGCAGGGTGAGGTGTGACATTTTTAGGGTCGACCTTTTCTAACCCTTCCTTTCTTGTGAGAAGGCAGTAGGACTTCGCTCTCAGGAACGTTGGAAAGAAGCAAATATCAGACATAAAGAAGGCGGAACAACAGAGGAGAACGTGGAAACCTTTTGCAGTGGGGGACCTAGTAAAGTGTAGAGAACAAAAGATTAGCATAGCAGGGGGATCAAGGTGGGGAAAGCTGATCCCAAAGTGGGATGGACCGTACGTTATCACGGAGAGACGCGGCGCGGGGTACATGA